CAACAAGGACCACGGCAAAGCTATAACAAAAGGCAGCATAATTATAACAATAGTGGCAACCATAATCGTAACAATAACCAACCTATATAGTAATAAGTAACTGTAAGAATAACTACTATAAATACTACCAGCAACAATCACGAGGGTTTAGGCATATCTTTTGTAAACTATTAGCTGACGGATTAGTAATTGAAAAAACCAAATATCTTTCCATTGTTTTTTGTTTCTTTTGTAAATGTTAGTATAAATTAATTATTTTACTTATTTTTACAAGCTTAACGGCTACTATAATAAACGTAATAAAATGGTACTGGCTAGTAATAATGAAATAACTCAGTTTAATAACCATGAATTAATATTTCCTAGCAATAACTATGAGGTACAACCAATAACCCAGTCTAATAATAACAATGAAGTGCAATTGATAATTCAACCTAGCAATAACAATGAAGCCCAACCAAGTAATGGCGAAATAACACAGTTCAATAATATACAATCAGAAAATAATATCGAAATGATATATTTGGAAGACCAAACTACTATATCTACAAAGTATAGTATCTCAAGTTTTATTTGGCTTCAAATAATCAATATGATACTAACTTATCCTATATCTATTTTTTATTTTAACTATAGTGAACAGATCTTGATACCGCCTTTTGTTGAACAAATATTCAACACTTGGGAGTGTGCTGATGAATATCTTAACGATTATACCTGGTAGGAGAATTTTGTAATTATCAAACTTAGAAATTATCAAGATTCTTCGGCAGAGAAAGTTTGTAGATGATGTACTTATGCGTATGATCATCAAGGCAATTATGTATCTAAAAAATTTGTAATTCTAGAGAACCAACGAAATAGTAAATCAAAACGGTCTAAGTACTCTTGGCACGTTAATATTACCTTTCCAAAGAAAGCTGCAATTGTTAGCATAATATCATTAAATCTTAAATACAATCACTTGTTTAATCCTATAACTAACTCATATGCTACCAAAAATCGAACACTACCCAAAGCCATCATACGAGAAATTTGCTTTTATACGGCCCAAGGAAATCTTAGTACAATAATTCAGCACAGACTTCTGTCGGCCAAGTTTCCTGAGATTATGATATATTCACGTGATCTACAAAATTTAATACAAAAATACAAAGTAACTAATCATGAAGAAAATGATGCATCAAAACTACTGAGACAGCTATTTACCAAAAAAGCTGAGGAACCAGAATGGAAAATATTTTGGAAACTTCATCATGAAACCAATAGCCTGGACAAATTATTTTAGATATCACCAGAGCAAGTCCAACTATGGATCACTTACCATGATGTTATATTAAATGATAATACATATAAAACTAACTAGTTTAATATACTACTTTCCCTATTCATAGTGGTTGATAATCATTTTCGCATCTGGCTTGTTGCACAAGCTTTGGTAAATAATGAAACCAAAGAAATCTATGAGTGGCTCCTTACCTCTACTTTACAAGCAACAAATCATGCACTGCGAGTATTTGTTACTGATGCTAACCCTGGAATGAATGCTGCTATAGACAGTATTTATTATAATACATATCCTTTGCATTGTATATATCATATATCTCAAAATCTTATGCGTAATCTTAAAACACCTCTTGGTAGTACCTATAATGATTTTGCAAAAGATTTTTTTTTGTGCCGGAATAAACTTTCTTCTGCTGGATTTGATGCCTAATGGTGTAAGCTTATTGTGACATATCCTAATGCAACTCATTACCTTAATTATGAGCTCTATCCTAGCAAAGAAAAGTAGGCTAAAGCATATACAACTAAATTTTTCACAGCTAGAATCTCATCAACCTCACGTGTTGAAAGTGAAAATTTAGTAATAAAAAGTATTCTTCAAGGTCATCCCAGTCTTTGCGAACTTGCTGCTATACTAGATCTTTGGTTATGCAATGAGACACGATATATTAACTACAATGAGTAGTACTATACTAATGCAAGTGAGCAGTTGAGTGGTGCTTTTGCAGAATGTTTTCTTGAAATTAACCGTATTCTCAAAGAATACCTTACTGAAGAAATGCTTTCCCAACAAAGATATGAATTACATAATCACTATATTATTATACAGTAATAGAAAATGATTAATTACCTGCTTCTGAACCTAGTGAGGAAGAATATGATACACAACAAATTCATTTGAATTCTCTTGTAGCAGACCTCCCTTCAAATGAAATTATCAAAATATATAGAATTTGACGACGTAATTGCGTCCATATTAACTTTGTTATTATTCTTGCTGATTATTCCCACTTATGCATATGCATGTTACTTGTTAATCATGGCTTAGTTTGTCAACATTTTTGACATATATTTTCTATTGATAGTATAGTATTCTTTTAAACACTTATTTCTAAACATTGATATAAAAATGAAAAATAAAGAATTTATGCTTAGATGAACAACCCTATATAAAAAATAACGATATAATACAATTAAGAGAAAGTTGCTTACCTTGCCCCAAACTTTTTTCTATGTGCCAGATTACCAAGTTCCGTGATAATGATGTTTTTAGTTCTGAAGTTCACCGTGCAGTTCAGAAACGACATGATTATGGAGAAACTTTTAATCTTGCTCAGAAGGTAGTTCGGTCTGCAGTTGAAGCAGATGGTGAATCTCTTTGCCATTTTAAAAAAATTCTGAACGATTGGTTTGCTAAAGAACAAAGGCTAACAAATATTAACAATAATAACAAGGAGGATTTTAATCCTAATCAAGTTGAAAATCTAATTGAATGCTGACAGAAAGGAAGACCTTTGGTTAAGCGGCTTAAGAGTAGCTTTGAACAAGTTAAAAGCAAAAAGCCTATTACGCAAAACAAATATAGCAAATGTGGGATAGTTGGGTATTATGCACCAACTTGCAAGAACTAGAAGGAATAGTAGAGGATATAGGTTAAGTGAGAAAAAAAATATAATTATAGAAGTAGTCTTAAATATTTAAGTCTATATAACTCAATAAATATGACTATTATTTTGAAGTATTTATTGTTTAGAGTCAAAAAAGCTTTTTTTTTTTTTTGTTTTGTTAAGTGAATACACAACTATAATCAACGATAGTAATGTTAGCAGGGAGTGTTTTATTTTTAGATCAGAATTTAATTCTGAATGATCTAATATCTTTATTTATGGTAATTACGTGAGTATTTACCTTTAAGAAATTGATCCGGTCTAAAATGAATACATAATTCTAATCGATTCAAATACATATATATACATACGGTAATATAAAATATTTCATAATGCTTTGCTAACATATTATTTGCAATTAATAACTAAAATAAAGCACTTATTCGTCATCAAGAAATGCAGGGTTGAATAATCCACACAGAATAATTTTAGTTATTAATATGAATATTGAATTAGCTAAGAAGGATTAAAGTTACCATTTATTAGCAGAATCTATATGTATAAGTAACATTCTAGTTTGGGAATATGGAATTAGAGTTGAAAGAATAAAAAAGCATTTGTTTATATCAAAAAATCTGTAGATATGAATAATTCCAAAATATTTTAGCCTGGTTAGTATTACAAATACGGAATTAGTATCAAGAAGGATGAAAAAAGCATTCATTTACTATCAAAAATCTGTAAGTATAAATGAATCTTCTGGATTGGTTATTGTTATGAATATGGAATTAGAATTGAGATAGATAAAAAGGTATTCGTTCATAATCGAAAAACTTGCAAGCATAAATAAATAGAAAATTTCTATTTTGGTTGTTACAGGTATGAAATTAGAGCTAAAAATAGAAAAAGCTATTCATTATCAAAAATCTGAGATGGATCATTAATTCATTATCAAAAAATCATAAATATAAATGATTCAGGTAGAATTTTCTGGATTAGTTATTGTTACGAATATGGAGATGTATAAAAAGGTATTTATTCATTAACAAAAAAATCTTCAAGTACAAAACTTTGTGGGTGTGAATTGTTAAGAATATTTTGCCTTGATTGTTAGATATTGGAAGTTGTTACAGATATGGAATATAGCTAAGAAGGATGAAAAAGACATTTATTCATTATTAAGCAAATCAGCAGATATGAATAATCTGAATAGAATCTTCTGGATTGATTATTGTTACAAATATAGAATTAGAGTTGAAGTAGATAAAAGATATTTATTTATGATCAAAAATTCTACAGATATAAATGATTAGG